GTGCAAATCGGAAAGGTGAAGCTCAATTTCTCAGCACCGAAAACCATCTGAATTGGGCCCTACAGGCAAATGGCTACTCCAGCAATGAAGTCACAAGAGCCCTTAAACCAAGAAGACAACACCAAACTGAAGAGGAAAATCAGCCACCCACAAATAAAGTATTTCTGCCATACATCAAAGGGGTCACGGACCGCATGAGGTAACTTTTGGAAAAAAAACCTTCAGAACACGGCCAAAGAGCCCAAAAAACCCACAACAACCATCAGATCCAGGTCGTGGAAGCCTTCGAGAATACAGTAGCTGAGATCTTGGAATCCATCACTTTAAGGCAGTGGTTCCCAACCTTGGGTCTCCAGATGTTCTTGGACTAAAACACCCAGAAGCCTTCAGCACCAGCTACGCTGGCAAGGATTTCTGGGAGCTGTAGCCTAAGAACATCTGGGGACTCAAGACTGGGAAGGCCGGCTTTAGGGTAAAGACCTGAAACAGGCACAGTCCGACTTTGCTGTAAAGTTCTAAAAATTTCTCACAATTTAGTTGGTTTAATTAGGATTCTGAGGAAATATAATTTAATGACTAAGGTAATGTGTAAGGGACTGCTTAACTGTGCTAAAATAAGGTACATCTAGAGTCCGTCTTCTTGAATCAAACTTACAGAGGAGTTGACTCACCATATCCCTGCTGATTTCATTGGGCCTGCTCTCATGCAGCTTACTACACTGAACAGGATTTCAGCCCTTTGTTCTTTCAGCCGTTTGCCTATACGCTGTCATTCTTCCTAGGAGCTCCCCATCTGTCTCCTGGTCAGGAAACGCAGAGAACCAGATGTGCTTGTTTTTTAGTGGTCCTCAGGTGTCCCATGCTTTTGGACCAAAAACATGCCTTAACCTCAGTCTCCTTTTCAGGTATCAGGGGCCCGTGTTGCTGGTGCGCAGGACCAAAGATGAGATCATCACCACAACGTGAGTTTTTTTTAAAAGGCAAGAAAAATGCCTGCTTGTCTGGCCAGAATTATTGAGCTACATCTGTCCTGACGGAGGTGTTAAACAAAGATGAGACAACTAGAATGTTAAAACTGTAATAGTAATGGTGATAGCGTCCCTCAAGTCAGTTCTGACTTTTAGTGAGATTTTCATCAGGGTTTTCAAGGGAGAGAATACTTATAAGTGGTTTGCACCTTTTATTCTTGAGGGGGCACCCTGAGACTTTCCCAAGATCACACAGGCTGGCTCAACTTGCCCAGTGGGGAATCAAACTTCTAACTCTGGCTCCGCAGACAGATACAGTGGTGCCTCTCATAGCGAGGTTAATCCGTTCCGGATTAACCTTCGCTATGCTGAAGCATCGTTGAACGGGGCAGGGAATTCCATTGGAACGCATTAAACATGGTTTAATGCGTTCCAAATGGGCCAAATACTCACCGTTCAGTGATGCTTCTTAATGGCCGGCAGCCATTTTCGCGCCCTCGCCTCGCTTAACAAGGGCGCGAAAAAGCTGCACGCGGCCATTTTGGGCCATTTCCGGGCTTCCGGCGGCCATTTTGGCCGCCGAACAGCTGATCGTCGGGCTTCGTTTTGCGAAGATCGGTAAGCGAAACGCTTACCAGTCTTCGCAAAGCGAATTTTGCCCTATTAGAAAAACGTTGAGCGATTGCATTAGCGATCCAGAAAAACGGATCGCTATGCGATTTCGTCGTTATACGGTGGGCTCGTTAAGCGAGGCACCACTGTACATAACCACTAAGGTGAAGTGAATCCGCAAAAGCTTATGCCAAGATGAGACATGTTAGTCTTTAAAGTGCCCCAAAACTCTGCTGATTTTCGTTACCCAACATGGCTACAACCCTCATGCCTCTGAGGGAGAAGAAGGCTGGTATTAGAACATTAACTCTGTCCTTCCCCGGATTTCTAGGGTTCCCGAAGATATCATGTCCAATAGAGGGAATGATCTGCTTTTGAAGATGCTACAACACAGGTGAGTGAAGGAGAAGTCGGGGAGGGGAGCCAGCATATTATAAGTCATTCCTCCACTCAATGAACACTTGAGGTGAGGTACAAATAAAATTAAAAGTAATTATAAAAATTTTCAGAACATTTCAACCATCAGTGGAGATAACAGATAGGAAGATAAAGACAAGAACAATAAACCAGAAAGCAGCCATCAGATCAAAGGGTGGCTTTCATCCTTAAAGGCTGAGCAGGATAACATTGTCTTCACAAGATTGTCTAAAGTCATGCTTTGCAACCTTCAGTCCTCCAAATATTTTGGCTACACTTTCCAGAATCCCTAGTCACGGACGGTGCTGGCTGGTGCTTTTGGGAGGTGGAGTCCAGAACAGCTGGACGGCTAAAGATTAAGAACCCATGTCCTAAAGGAGGTACTTTTGGAGGTAGAAACATAATACACAGAAGGGCCCTATCCTTAGCATTGACCAGCCCCTCCTCTCTCACTGAAGGGACATCTAAGAAAGCCTCAGAGGAAGCATGCAAATTACAAGCAGGTTTCCTTGTGAGGAAGTAGTATTTAGGATGTGCCAGCCCAACCCGTGTAGGACTTTATAGGTAAGAACCTGCATCTCACAATCATAGGCTGAGATGAGAAATGATGTGAATGGCTTCACATCATGTTCCTTCATAGTAGAGGCCTATTTTCCCCGAAGTAACTTCTTTAAAGCCAGGGGTTCTCCTGTTGGGGTTTCCTTCTAGAAAGGACTTCCACCTGGAGAAAAGAGAGGAGGGAGCACACGCACTTGCTTGTGGAAAGGGAAAGTATAAGTTAGGTGGGGTTTGTCTGCCACCCTCTGCCCATCGGGTGCTTTAAAGCGGCCATTCTCAACGGGGGCCCCGGAACATCTGGAGGGGGCCCCAGGCTGGAAACAATACTTCACACACCATTTTGCAAGGTTGGTCATGCGACTTACATAATCCTGATTCAATCTGTATTTCTTTCATATTGTGCTAAGGCCGTGGCTGAAAAAAAGGTTTAGATGGCTGCTTTAAAGCTCGCCCTGCCTCTCTGTAGGGGTAATGGCAGTGACAGGGAGGTCTGCCCTTGGCCTGTCTGGTTCATCGCCCCTTGAAGGAGTTTTCCAGAATCCATCTCTTGGATTTGCATCTCTTGAAGAATCTATTTCTGTGCCTTTTCCCTGCCTCAGGTATCCCAAAGTCATGGCAGAAGAGGGCGTGAGAGTCGTACGGGAATGGCTAGAAGCTTCCACACCCGTGGAAGAGGGTAAGTAACTGGGCCAAGTCTTCACCATACATGTCTCCCAGCGCGGGTATTGAACTGTTGTGGTCAGATGGAGCGTACCTGTGGTAACATTTAATTGCGGTGCCATCGCACTGCAGTAGGCTTGAAAATGAAAAACACCCTTCAAAAGCGAAGCAGAGTGTCCTGCTTGCATACTGCCCCATAGCACTTAAAGCACTCTCTGGCTGGTCTGTTTCTCCCTCCCAAAAGTGAGCCAGGTATTCACTTTGCTGGCCTCTGAACAAGGGAAGGCTGAGTCAGTCTTGAGCTGGCTCTCTGAATCCTCTGGGATTGAACACAGATCACGAGCAGAGTCTTGACTGCAGTGCTGCAGTTTAACCATTGCGCTACAAGGCTCACTTTAAACTTGTGAATGTGGCATGCTACCAAAGGAGACGTAGCAATGTCTGGTTTATATTTTTGTTAAATTTATATTCCCCCTTTCCTCCAGTGAATAGAATCACCCTATCCTCAGATGGATCCTATGTTGTAGGTCAGTTAGAGCGGGTGTCCTGGTCCAGGGTTACCCTCTGGGTTTCGTTGCTTCCTGGGGACTACAGTGTGGCTCTTCCGGGCCCTGGGCCCACCTGCTCGCCAGAGAGAGTCCCCCCTATCTGAAATGGCTGAGTTTCTGTGCCAGGTGCCCGTGGGTCTTGGCCTTGTCTGGTGGTCCTTGCCCTTTTGTCCTAGGAGGAAGTCTGGTTCCTTCATGTCAGGTTTTATGTGGATGAGCAGCAGTTGCTCAAAATGGAGGCAAAGGAAAAGTCCCCGAGTGTGATCAGAGGTTCTTTGGGAGAAGGTTTGTGGCCCAAGATGGGAGGGGAAACTAAATTTGGATGGTTGGGGACACTGAAACAAAACCAACAGTGTGTGAGTGTGGTGTAGTTGTAATGCTTTTTCCAAAAGAAGCCAGACTTTCCAGATCCACTGAATTGGTTGACTGTGCTTGAGTGACCAGGGAAGCCCAGCCGTTCAAGCCCCCTCTTGCCCTTCCGACCGGAGGGTGACTCCTCACGGCCCTGCTTTGTCCCCTGCAGCCGCCGTGTACAGCCGCTATGAAGTGGAGGACGACTGGTGTCTGTCGGTGCTGAAGTCCTACAGAGCTGAAGAAGGAGACGAATTTCCCTGGAGTGTGGGTAAGGCCTGAGCGAGAGAGCGGAGGCGCAAGCAGGGGAGGGAAGGAGGGAGGAAGAGTGGTTGGCCATGGGGCAGTAAGTCCCAGAGTAAGTTCCAGTCATGCTCCAACTCCACAGTGGAAAACCTCGGGGGATGGTTGTTCTCAGGCCAGCGCTATGGCTGGGTAGAGGGACTTGGCTGCTCTGAGCAACTGCTTTCGAGGATCATGCAAGAGGGTCAACTCATTATTTGTTTAACTAGGAAATCTAGTTCTGTATGGAGTAGTCTTCAGCTCAGTGGTTCCCAGCAGCCTTGGGTCCCCAGATGTTCTTGGACGACAACTCCCAGAAATCCTGGCCAGCACAGCTAGGGTTGAAGGCTTCTGGGAGTTGTAGTCCAAGAACACCTGGGTTGCCCAAGATTGGGAGCCACTGCTTTAGTTGGATGCAACAAACCCTTCAGTCAATGTGGGGCAGCTCTACACAATGTGCCTGGTCCTTCTGAGTGATGTTATAGCCTCTTGAGACCTCTAGGTAGACCCACCGCTGTCAGGTGGCACCCCATAGTGGCGCCTTGCCTGTCCTTCAAACGATACACCCTCAGCTCCGAGTGACTGCAAACCTGGCCGCCCTGAGTCCTCCCCTTTTTACAGCCAAAGAGGTGAAGCCTACACACACAGAGATTCACTTTTCAGATCCCCTGAGAACGGATGGGGCCACCAGCCTCTGGAGATGGTGGGACTGCAACATCCGGTGTTCCTCCACATTGACTGCATGCTGCCTAAGGACCATGGGAGCGGCAGTCCAGCACGATGGACCGGGGAGTAGCCCACCCTTGCGGTAGAGGAGGCTGCTCCAGCTTGATGGGGAAAGCAGTAACAGGACATTGTCCTTGGCCCCTGGGGCACCCGTTTCGACTTACCTAACCTTTTATTGATTGATTGATTTTCACACCAGGTGAAGACATGACTCCTGAAGGGAGACGGCAGCTTGCACTGTTCCTGGTAAGTTCCACCAGGGTCACACTTCAACTCCATAGTGGAAAATCTTGGGGGACAGTTGTTCTCAGGCTGCACGCCTGTGCAAGGATACTGAGCCGCCATCCTTTTCTTCCAGCCCATTCCTGTACCTGAATCTCACACATCCGTCACTTGCCCTCTCAAAGAACCTTGGACCATGTTTGACACATGCACTGTTGGGGTGGTTTCTCTTTCCAGGTCTCTAATTTTTTTAAAAAAAAATCCTGTTCTGATGCACTCCATTCCTGTAACGCAGTGTGTGCATCATAAACCGTTTTACATAGTGTATCCCCACTATTATCCGTGTTGGCTCCCAGCGGCACTGGGGGTGGGGGACAGGCACAGCAAGCTGCAAACATTATCCTTGCTCTTTGCCTGTTCTTTCAGCCGCGGAGGTCACTGGCTCAATGCCATGCGTTCTGCACAAAAATAAGTGTTGTGTTTGTTTTTTTAATTTATTTGTTTCTCAAATTTATATATGGCCCCATTTGTGCGATGCCCACTTTTCTGGGCAGTTTACAGAAGTTGAAAACATATAATAATAGTGAATTAAATGAGCAGTTTGAATCCAGCAGCAGCTTCAAAAGGCATAAACTGAAGGATAAAACACAGAATGCAAGGCAAATAAACGATCAGACAGGAGAAACGGAAGGAGGAGAAAAACAATGCCTCAGGCAGGTTTGCAAATAAATAAATAAACGCGGTAATGCTGTCTCATGCATGCCCCCCCCACTCCATAACTGCCTAGAAAGTGCCGTTAAGAAATCTTTGAAGGAGCAACTGAGCAAGTTCGGCACTCAGACTTTGGTAGATAAGCTCAGTTCACGGACATTTAGCATAGATGGGGACGAGGAAGGAGGAACGGTGAGGAATGCCTGGGTCTTTTTTGTGCTGCCTTTGGTGCCTGGGGAGGAGCTGCTGAAGGTGGAATATATACACTTGGGGAAGGTGGGTTCACCCATTTGCAGCAGTGAATACCAGCAGGTAGATTCGTGCCCTTCCAGTAGCCAGATGTCATGCCCTTGAAACTTCCGTGCCATGGTGGCAAGCCCCAGCCATCCTTGTGTAGTTTTGATTCTTCTGATGTGAGCTAGTTTTTTTTGTGGCCAGTGCTACACCAGACCATGGAGGTGTTCCTGTGTTTTGGACCGTAACGTCAAGGTTCCCCCATTCTTGCCGGAGCATCCCGTAATACAAAAAACAAGTTTCTCCAAGTTTTTTTTTTTACTCTGCGTGCCTTAGCTTGGCTGTGATTCGTCCTTTTGCTTTGGAATGGCTTCTTTCAGTGAAGAGAGGGTTAATCCTGGAGCATGAATTAACGAGTGGCCAGCCACCAGGGTTTCTTTCTCAGCGTTGCAGGCAAGATGGAATGCTGTCTCTCCCAAAACAAAAAAGCTCAGAAACTTTTCCATGTACGCTTGAATCATCCTTTGCTTAAGTAACAAACACACCAACCTTGTGTTTCTTCCTGACACATTTGTGTGGGCTGAGGAGTCACTGTCTCTCGTGTTAGACATTGCTGGCGCCTGGCACAACTTCTTTACTGCTAGAGCAGTACGACAATGGAACCAGTTACCTGGGGAAGTGGTGAGCACTCCAGCCCTGGAGGCATTCAATTGAACAACCATCAGATCTGCTTTGACTTGGATCTTGTGTTGAGCAGGGGATCAGTCTCATATGCCCCTTCCAGCACCATTATTCTATGATTCTAAATCTTGCATTAATTGTCGCCACCAACACCACTGAAATTCGTTTTAGACAGAACTGTATGTCTAGCAAGTCACCTACCAAACAAGTGAAATATTTTTCTGTCACCCAGATGTATGAACACATGCTCTGTGCCGGGTCTTATTCTACACTGGGTCCCAGATCTTTATATACCCCATTTTAAAAACCTATTTTTGTGCTTTAACTTGTCCTAACCTTTCTTCTTCTTCTTCCACAGGCCCGGAAGCACCTACAAAATTTTGAAGCCACCCACTGCACTCCACTCCCTCCCCAAGAGTTTCACCTCCCATGGAGCTTATAGCACTCCTTCCCCGGCAGCGCTCATTGCTTTTATGTATTGGTGGCTTTCTCCACCCATCTATGGAGTGTGTTGGCTTCTCGTGTGTGTGCGCGTGTATATCTGGCTGTCACTGTTCCCTTCCCAGCTCCGCACTGTAAATCGGCATTCTCTCCTCTGTCATGTTTGTCCTGTAAGCCCCAAACCAACACATCGTTAGAGGACGTTGATAATAAAGATGCTATTTTTTATAGTTGCTGTGTCTTGCGTGTGTTTGTGTGCACACACAGGTGTGTTAGTGCACATTTGAAAAGAACTTCAACAGTAGTGTGTGATGCCAAAAAGACACAGATTTATTTATTTACATTGCTGCCTTTATATTACACTGTATATCAAAGGCTCTCAGGGCAACTGGCAGACTCTTTGAAACAACTGAACATTTCACCAGGGCAGTTTCACCAATCTGGGCCCATGAGTGGTGCTCTCCTGTCATTGGTTGAGATGCAGCTGTCCTGGAATGTTCATAAATATTATGGCTTGTGAAGGCAAGAGGACCTTTCACAATGAAGTTTCTGTGAGAGATGACAGTTTGTAGATGCCTTTAGATGACCCAAGTCTGAGATGGGACTCAGAGCCATTGTTTTAAAGTGGCTCCAGTCCTTCATGGAGGAGTGCACTCAGAAGATGGTTCTGGAACTCTCCTGTTTGACACCTTGGCTGTTGGTCTGACTTATTTTGCCCACTATGCTATTTAAGATCTACCTGAAACCACTGGAGAGGTGGTCCAGAGTTTGGGGATTCAGTGTCACAATATGCAGTTGAAACCCAGTTTTATCTTTCAGTCTAAATCCAAGGAAGCTGTTTTGGCTCCAGATCAGTATCTCGTGTCATTAACAGACTGGATGAGGGTGAATAAACTGAAATTTGCCATGATCCAGACAAGACAGAGGTGCTCATGGTCAGTCAAAAGGCAGAGCAAGGAATAGGGATGCATCCTGTGCTGGATGTGGCTACACTCCCTCTGAAAACATAGGTGTGCATCGTGGGGAATGCTCCTGGATTAATCTCTGAGCCTGGATGCCCAGGTCTCTGTGGTGGCCAGGAGTGCCTTTGCACAATTAAACTAATGCACCAGCTGCACCCATTCCTGGGCAGGTATAATCTGGCCACAGTGACACGTGCCTTAGTCAGATACAGTGGGGTCTTGACTTAAGAATGGCTTGAGTTAAGAACATTTTGACTTAAGAACCACTCTCATAGGAAAATATTGACTTGACTTACATACTTAGATTTGAGTTAAGAACTGAAAAAAAAACCACGTGGGAGGCAGGGAAAGTGCAAAATTTGAACTTTCAGTTAACTGTTGGCCAGTGAAAAGGGTGCCTGTCTGCTTCCTCACTCCTCCCAGCGTTTAGAGAGTGGATTGGGAGACAGTCTTCGGACTGCCTGGACTGTATTTCCCTGCCTTCCCTGAACCTTTCTTGACCTAAGAAAAAAAGAAACAACATTTCACCAGGGCAGTCTCACCAATCTGAGCGTGGGAGATGCTCCTGGATTAATCTCTGAGCCTGGATGCCCAGGTCTCTGTGGTGGCCAGAAGTGCCTTTGCACAATTAAACTAATGCGCCAACTGCACCCATTCCTGAGCAGGTATAATCTGGCCATAGCGACACGTGCCTTAATCAGATACCCCTGCCAGATTACTGTAACACACTTTATGTGAGGCTGCCTTTGGAGTGTTTAGAAACTTCAGCAGGTTTGGAATGCTTCAACATGGGCATCTGCCGTAAATTTTTAAGACTCTTTAACCTGCAATTTTTGGGGGCATAGTGGCGCTGCGGGTTAAACCGCAGAAGCCTCTGTACTACAAGGTCAGGAGCTCCTGTCACTTGTCCCAGCTCCTGCCAACCTAGCAGTT